TCTCAGGATAACCATTACCTTCCAAAGTTTTCTCAGGATTCAGAAATTCTTCTTCCAGCTCTGTAAAACAGAGTTTCAACCAATACTTATTTATAGCTAATTGGACTGAAACTGTTGAATTTTAAGCGTTGTCCATTCCACACGGATTTTCAGACTTCCACTTGTCAGGTGTTGCATGATAATTTCAAGCGACTGGAACGCTCCACTAATTTCGTGTGACATAGTGAAGTGAAGTCAGTATTTTCATGAACGCTCAAACTCCTCATCTGATCATTTGTGAGTTAACAAGGGTCTTCGAAACAAAATTACTAATGTTCATTTTAAACAGCGTATGTGAGTGCTTTTTATATTAATTTTCTATAAATGGATCAGAAGAAATGTCATGATGACATGAATTTTATAGTATATCTATGTATCTATTGGAAATGTGAGTGAGTATGAAGTAAATGAAATGTATAGGTGAAAAAGCTCAGTGAAACGACATGAAATGACAATTTGATTTGCATCTGTAAATCTTTGTTGTGTCATTTGAAGTATGATTTGCATGTATGCATAAGGAGAATAATTTGTAAATTAGACGAAAGCACGTGTTGCTACAGATGAAAGAAGTAATCATCTTATTTGTCATATCACAGATTTCTGCGCAGCAGCCGACATCACGCATATAATTTCTATGTTTCGAATATCACGTTATCTTAAACTAATTTCAAGTCAGTTGATTCGCTAATCCTCTATTCTTCTCGCTTGTTTCACTCGAGTTTTAGTCTACTGGGTAGGAATACTGTCAAAATGTTTGATATAGACCTTTCGCGTTTGACTGATTCATTGGTCGGGATTATGGATAACTTGTAAACATGAGCAACTCAACGAAGGACCGGATTAACCAGACGTAATGACCTTGATCGACCAATGAGAACAGCGCGCGATAAATAGGCGAGATTATGGATATCGTACACGTATTGCATTGCAGGTTTCATCCAAATATATAGGGTTCCAGAACTGGTTAGGATAGTAGGCACTTAGGAAGGAAGCACACAAATTCTATCAAAAGTTTATGGAGTTACATATAAAAGAGGATCAGAGCAGTAAAAGTGTCACATAATAGCATGATATATAACTATCTGGATGAATTTATGTACGGAAATTGGTTTGACCTATCAGTACGGACTCCTATAAGGATGTATGAGATGTACTGGTGTAGTGAGAGCTGGCTGCTAGCCAAAGTTGGTAGACAGTAATTGACGTCAGTGTTTATATCCCCAATATTGGTGGTGAGAAAATGAGAACAAAGGCTTTGCGTAGGCGGATTCAGTTAGCATATAGATGATCCGACACAGCCACAAAGAGATGCAAGGTTAACTTTCTGTGAGAAACAACCAATCAAAAGACTGTATTGTCTACTACAATAATCTACAATAATGTATATTAAAATCTATAAATATGTGTTGACTTTCCTTAATAAAGGATATGTTGCTTGACCCTTGTCTTCTGTTGTTACACTGCGATGTATTCTTGGAACACATACAACAATGTTACCTGCATAACTTTTCTATAAACGTATTTAAAACTGTTTATTTTATTTAGGACCCATGTGATTGGTTGACAGGCATTTATCAATGTCATAAGGATGCTCGTACGTTTAGGGTCCTTAATGTTTAGAGTTACCGAATGATGGAATATTTCGTCTAACTTTGCTTCAATTAATAATTATAGATCGATGAAAAGACCGCAGTCTGTCATTTTATTTTCTTCCGGTTCCTTTTTCTACTCAGGTATTGATCTGAAGTCCCCTTGGCGACATCCTGCAGAAAAACTGTAACTTAACTGCAGTATAATCACATGTTATAAAATCAGTTAAGCGTTGTGCCAAGTGAGATATCATACGTTCTTCTTTCGAAAAAACTGTCAATAAGACATGCGGTTATTGAATAGAATCCCTAAAACGAACTTCAGAAGAATTCCATAATATTTACAAATAAAATTATAATGGTGTATGAAAAGCGTAAGCATATGATGCTCGCTATTGATTGGCTACAGGACGAAGTCGTTTGCACTTCTAGTGAGAGCTTGTGGCTAGTGGGGTCTATCCGATCGGGGGTGGGGACAAATACTCACTGATGACAGTCGGGCTAAATTGACGAATTGGTGGAAGTTAGAATTCATAGGCTTGTCATTGAGTAAGATCCCAGTGGCTATATGATCTACGGACTTCCTTAGTAACTGGAAGATCCCGGGTTGTAACCCGGGTGGTGGGTATGTACTATCAATAAGTCCGAAACTAGAACGAAACAGCTGTCCAGTACTCCCTGATTTTCAGTGGTTCTTTAATTGATATCGATCTGCTGTCAGACCTGAAATTAGAAGTAGAGATTCGATTGCTTGATAATAAAAAGAAGAACAACACTGATGAGATAAGTAGTAAAGTTTATTGAGATAAAATAACAATGGACATTAAGGAAATCCCGAACCTCAAGTCAGTTTCACAATCTATAAATAATATCACCCATTCTCTATTGGGGATGCATTATTTATTGCCTATTAGATTCATGCCAGTGATTTCACATTCATCTTGCGTTTCTTCTTCAATGGATTGTTTTTATTTACACACAGATTACAATTGCTCCTCCTATGAAGCTGCTTGACATAGAACCTATGTCGATTTACAAGCAGGACACTGTTATTATTTTATTATCCTTTCCTTACGTTTTGAGTGGAACATAAATCTTCAGCTGTAGATCTTCATTACACTCGGTGTTTTGCTACCATTCCTTTTAACTAGCTCTACGACTGACAAAATACTTTCATTTACGCCTCACATCACCTACTCTGTGTTACACTCGGATGCCAAACTGGTTCCTTTCAAAATGGGTTCAATTGAAGTGTTTTACTGGAGTGTGATTTCACTTGAATGCCCTTTCGGTCTGTGTGGAATTCACCTACATTTCCTCCTGCATACGGGTTGGTCGATAGGTTGATGGTCAGTTCGCTGCGCTGTGCTGAGTGAATTTCTCGTTTCTTATCCTTTCTGGCCATCCATTTGACGTTCAGTATGGGAGCACTTGAGGTCTGCAGTAGTTTGTTGGAAATGCTTTCGGTGATTCGTGGGTCAAATCTCGAACTATATAGAAGTATGCGGACTTATGTCAAAGCTAAAATAGGTTTTACACTAGCAGTAGATTCATAAATAATTGCATCGAGTGTTTGTGTATTGAACATAAAGCTAAATGTTGTGACACTGCCTGCGGCTTTGTTAGAATCTCATGGCTTAGGTTAGCCGTGTATTTATAATTATCAGAAATGGTTATGTAAAAGCTTAAGAAAGAGAATGTTCACAGTTAGGCTTTGATTAACGCTCGCCGATCATAGAATTAATTTAAGTTAATCAGTCTGTTGGTTACCGAAGAACAATATAGTTTCTATTGGATATTATAAGTCACAAGAAGTGGATGCATCTACGCCACTGAGAACGATTTTGAGACATATCACCGATTGTCTCCGGCCATTGGTTTTTACCGTCCCGAAGACCCCAACCAGGAAGTTTTCACCTTCCTACGTGACTTAAACGAACTGTTATGGATTTTATCGACTGATGCTATGTTTCATTTTGACTGCCACTGGCTTTTTTCCTACCTGATCCGATGTCAGCTAACATTGCCCTTCGACGAAGGCAATGTTTAGGCATACGTAACACATATCCTAACCATCTCAATTGATGTAACTTCACAGCCTCGTCGATTGATTTCCCCTAATTACCTAGCACTCAGTGCCTAACCTCAATATTGCTCACCCTATTGCACTTACCACCCAAAACCTCATCAGTACTGACCATAGTACACCAACTAATATCAGAAAATGAAAGAAGGTATATTTGGTCATAGATAAACAGCCTTCCACATTCAGTGGTCATGTCTTAAAACTATAAAGACAGACGAAGTAAAATGCCGCACAGTATACACGTGATTTGAGGGATATCATGATATCACGCCTACGCGAATATGGCGCAGGTTAGGAAATATCGAACAAGCGTTTTGTATATGTACTGAGGTTTCTTCAACAATCAATCCACGAGGACTGATGCATCTTCCTGACATACGTGACTCAGCGACTACACTCTCTACACTATAAAAGTACAAGATAATATCCGGTGAACTTATCAGTTTTAAAGACAGTTAACTTCTGCTAATATTTAGCTCTAATTAGCCTTATAAGTGACTTGATAAAACGTCAGTCACATTAAAGATGGAGAAAGGAGCCAGGGAAATTTAATATGGAATATTGTTAACAAATGTATGTATTTTGTTTCATTTCCAAATTGTTAATTCAACTGTCATATGAATAAACAGTATGTAACGACGACATGTTTAGCACCGTCATAATAAGTGTCCAGCAACCTGGTCTTTTACATTAATCCATATCATACTGAACTTGCTAGAGAGAGCAGCTGTACAATTATTATTGAGATTATAAGAGATCGTATTCGCATGAAAAACAAATTCGCTGTAATGAGATGATAACTTAAAACTGAATACCACTCACCTGGCAGAAGGTGAAAACGTTCAGTCACTGAAGTGAAATCAAGATTTTGTTAGTAGCTTAGTCTCATATCTAAGTCAGAGTGTCAGGCCAATAATCTGAGAGCCAATCTCAATCAAACTCCTATTGAATAAAAATCATTCTGCCAGCGTAAGGTTATCTACACATGGTTACATTAACAAATGTAGTCACTTGGATGCATTCAGAAAAGACATCCGTCAGCATCATACATAAAGAGACCAGTCAATTTTAACAAAGCATAACGAATTACATAGAAACGAATCAAAAATATTTTCACTAATAGACATTCAACTCTTAAATAATAAAAATAAATAAACACAAGTAAAAAGTGTATGACTTATAACATTTTATATTTAATATACAATGATTTTGAGAAATCACACTCAAAATACCGTCTACCGTAGGGTAGTTCACATTATTTACAAGATGTTATATAATGAAAAACGGGGAGGGGGACAGATTAAGCGACACTAAGCACTTGCATACGAGATACCAAGAGTAATCAAAAGTTCCAAATAAACGTCGTCACAAAAGTAGAAACTAGCAATGAAAAATGGAAGCAGAAAATGTTTTTGACGTGACACTATCAAGAAGTGGAATGTCTGTCCCCCTGAACAAACGTTTAAACACAACAATTAAAGGTTGAATTCAACTAAAGATCCAGTAAGAAATAGATCTGTCCTAGTGTTTTGTATCTTATCATAATCACAGCAACATCATTAACCAATACGATATGTTACACACGCATGAAATGGAGACAAAGGGAGAGAGTCATCGGTTTGACTTGTCTAATATAAAAAAATAAATTGTATTATTAAAATATATATATCAGTAACAGTATATATGCTGGATAGGGCTGCACCGAAACGATAAAGAAACTGCATATCTGGAAGTTTTGAGAATATTCTACTTAAATAGAATATTTCAGTAGTTTGTATAGAGAAGAACTATTAGATTAATTATTTGTTGTTGTTGTTGTTGTTGGTAGAATGTAGTGAAGTAGTGAGTGCTCCGTCATACCTGCGGAGATTTTCTGCTGTAAAATAAGAAACAAGAAAAGATGAATAAATACTTTGTATCATGTATAATTCATAATAAAAGATTCGCGATGACAACGATTCTCAAATTCTACGAGTAAACCGACAGTCGCAACACACTACAAAATTAAGACTACAATAAAATTAACATTTAGGTTAAAAGTAGTGATACTGGCATGTTGACAAGATTCATATCAAAAGATCATAGCATTTGTTTTACATGTATGAAAGTTAACATTTATTTGTAAAAAATTATATTTGTAAAATCTCAGCGAGATTGAAATAAGTAATTCCAACGTTTCGTTCGGCAATCTGGTCCGAACTTCTTCAGGGAAATTAATCGAAATTAACATAACAGAGGTTTATATATAAAAGAAAATCACTTGTTTTTAAAAACTTTGTCCAATCATGAGTCATTCAACAAGTATAATAAACAAAATTGTATGAGCTATGATCAAAATTTGACCTCGGACTTACAAATATTGGTCTACCTTTGTTAAACACTTTAAACAGAGTGTGTATGTGTGTGTGTGGGTAAACAGTTGTAAAACATTTCTTAACGTCTCCATAAGAAGAGATGGACAGTCGAGAATTTTGACCAAATATTAATAATTAGTGATACATATCCATTTTTTATTTATTAATAAGGATTTCCTATGCATCAGCTAACATCACGCCTTCATGTCTGTTCAAACTGTTAGTATCTAGAATTTTATGATTAGACGTATTTTCAAAATTATGGTGATTAGGATTAGATTTTAGTAGAAGCACCCTGTCGGACTTATTGCTTTGTCTTCTTTCTGAAGATTGTGCTGCTTTATTCGACCTACTGTATCATAAAATTCCAGATACTAACAGTTTGAACAGACATGAAGGCGTGATGTTAGCTAATGCATAGGAAATCCTTATTAATAAATAAAAAAATGGATATGTATCGAAAATTCCCGACTGTGCATATCTTCTTATGGAGACGTTAAGAAATGTTAGCGTCGGTGGCATAGTGGTTAGGACGCTCACCGACCATGCACATGGTCCGGGGTTGGATCCCCGGCCGACGCACTCCTTTACCTCGCTAAGCCAGAACTAAAGCTGGTGAAGAGGAAAGGTTGAGCATGAGGCTAGCAACCCCATCCTGTAAAATAAGCACTGCTACAGAAACTTCAAGCCACTAGCTTGAAGCCCTATGTTCCACTAGGGAACGTGAAGGAAAGAAAAAAAAAAGAAATGTTTTACAACTGTTTACCCACACACACACATACACACTCTGTTTAAAGTGTTTAACAAAGGTAGACCAATATGTGTAAGTCCGAGGTCAAATTTTGATCACAGCTCATACAATTTTGTTTATTATACTTGTTGATACTTGTTGAATGACTTATGATTGGACGAAGTTTTTAAAAACAAGTGATTTTCTTTTATATATAAACCTCTGTTATGTTAATTTCGATTAATTTCCCTGAAGAAGTTCGGACCAGATTGCCGAACGAAACGTTGGAATTACTCATTTCAATCTCGCTGAGATTTTACAAATGTAATTTTTTACAAATGTCTACTTCTCCCTCGGCGCCCAAATATTTTAGAACTATTCTGTCAAATCTTGACTACAGTTCATTTGAGTTAACATTTATTGTTGGAGATGGCTCTCAAGCAGTTACACGTCACAGGATGATACTGTTTGCTGTTCAGGTCTTGCAAAAAGCTGGAATGAATCCGTTCGGTTCTCCTGAAAATGTGTGTATGTAATTAATTGCCCAGTCAGAGGGTGTATCATTGTATTGAATTCTTATTGCCTAATATATACGCGTGTCAAGCTACACACTGAAATAGCGGAGTTAACATTTACAATAAACTAAACTGAATAATCCACATGGATGTTTAAGTGTCTGTTAGGCAAAATGAAAGGCTGAAAGAATAGCCCAACATCCTGTTATCATGATGAAAACAATGTGGAAAAACTGTGTGAACCTTCAACATGAAAATAACTTTCCGTTATTTCATCAAGAAGAAGACAACAATAATTCTGTCAGACGGAATGAAAACAAATGACACAGAATACCGTGCAATGTGTATATATTGCTTTTAGGAAAAAAAATGTGAACACTGATGCTGAAGAAACAAACAGATACACACACACGCGCGCGCGCATCATACACTTAGATACAGATGACCAGATAATCATAAAATACACCGATAAGTACATGAAACAATGACAGCGGCACATATAGCGTGATTTTAAAAATTAAAAAATCCAGTGTAATGGTGCTCATAAACATCGATGGTGACAACAGTGCAGTAAACAAAAGTAATGATGAAGTGTTAAATTGTGTGATTGAGCATGGAATATTGAAAAAAATATTGACAGTTAATAGGAACAGAGACAACCACCCACTTGTTTACTCACTGTTTCAGAAGATAAACATGGAGGAGAAAGAGAGAAAGAAACCAAAGAACATAGCGATAAGAAAACATTTTTCTTTCTTGATTAAGTTAAGTAAGCAGGAAGAAAGACTTTCTTCTCAGCATAAAAGAATAGTTTTATTTATATATATATATATATATGCTACACACTGTTATAGTAATAGTGTTCTGAGCACAGTCCCACTTCCTAACCTGTTTTGATATATGTATATATATTTATATTCCCATTTTTCTCTAATACAATTTTTATAAGTCTAGCACTTGTCACTACATTATTTTTACTGTACATGGTGGGTGCTGATCTTTGTTCCCGTCTATCTTCTTAACGTTTTAGTACTTTTACCCTATCCGTTTCTACTGTGTGACTGTATGCAAATGAGAGCATAGCTATAGTCTAGAGTTCTTCTTAATTACTTAGTCTGGTGGGGTCTATTACATTATGCTTAGCTAAATTTCAATATTCTGATGACTTAACCGGTCTCAATCAACCGGTTCTGTTTAACCATCTGACAATAACGTAGTTACATTGCATTAAACGAATTAAATTATTTTGTCTAATCAGGTCAGTAGTATTCTTCAATTAACATTGTTAACGCCCTACGATCACATAATTAATAATCCTAAGTAGGAATTATGGACCTTTCTTCTTTATTATGATACATATATCAAGGCTTAGAATTCCTTTTCCTTCATACTGTGATAAACCAAAAGCAATATTCAAGTGTTGGTTTGCAGGGATTTGATTTGATGGGCTACAGGATTTCATCATGAGCTGACACCGGTTAGAGAACCATTGAAAACCACCAGAGGGTACTGGACAGCTGTTTCGTCCTAGTTTAGGACAGTACCACAAAGGTTTGAACCCAAGACCATCCTGTTACAAGGCTAGGTCGTAGACAATTAAGCCACTGGGACTCGATCCAGTGGCCAGCCCGTAAATTCGAACTTCTTCCAATTCACGATGTAGCGCGACTGGCACTGGCCAATGTCATCCGTGGCCAGTATCTGTCCTCAATACCAGACGAAAAAGTTGTCCAGTAGTTTCAGGTTCCCCAATGGTTGTGTATCCGGTGTCAACTTATGATAAAATCCTATGAGCAATATTATTTCTCCTTCCTGTTTGAATTTCGCTCAAACCATGACCAGTACCTAGGACAAAGTTGCAGCAGGTTTATAAGCTAAATAATCAGTTTATGACACTTGTGTAGAAGGTTAATTTTCCAAAATTCTCACTTACATGAAGCAATAATTCACCTACTAATCATACACCTGGTTTTTCAATTTCTCCACTTACACATCAACTATTTCTTGTGAAGCAGTTTGGTGTCTACTGTTAATCAAAAAATCAATTAAATTTACAGTACAGTCACTAGGCTACATGAAATTTTCACATTGGAAACAGAAAAAAAAACTAATAGAACACATTTCGCTATTACATAAAATTTCGGATTGTTATTATTATTATTAATCATGTACTATATAATAGAAGGTGACACGTCAGATACCAATACGGACTGAGTAAACATACCATATGAAATAAGTCTTAACGTCATCTGTCTAACTGATCTGCGATTCTTTACTTCGTTTATACTGAGTCACACTTATCGCCATTTATATGAAAATAGACACTTTGAGTTCACATATCGAGCTTGACTTACACATTGCACTGAAGAATCAGCTGACTATTATTATTATTATTATTATTATTACACATGTGATGTCTCGGGGACTAACTACAACTGTCGAAAATTTCTATTCGTAAATTTAATCAATTTCGCATTTTAACTGAATCATTGGTGAAACTGTAGGGGGTTACAACGTATTCGTCAATCACATTAAGACTCAGACATTTTATCTTCGCAGTGTAATTTTTAAAATCTCTACTACTACTTCTACTACTGTAACAACAGAAGGCAAGACATGGAAGCCAAGGTATATTTTCCATTGATCAAACCGCTATATATATATATATATATAGTTTTTCTTCTTTAATCAATCACTGTGCGTGTGATTTCGGTTTACATCATCAGACATGAAATAGAATGTTCAAATATACGCAGTATTCTTTTGTTAATACAGTATATAACCATGGGAAAAGTATTCTATTTCTAACATCAAATAGAATGTTTACGTAGATATATTGTACGCTGTTGCTAATTTTGTAATGAACTGTGGCAATATGAGAATAATATTACGTTGGCACACATTATCTCTATCACACCATTCCACTACTACTACTACCACCACTACTACTGTAACAACAAAAGACAAGGGCCAGGCAACAGATCGTTTATTAAGGAAATCAAAGCATATTTATATATTTTCATGTACATTATTATAGTTTAGTTAAGCAAACAAACACAGTCTTCTGATTGGTTGTTTCTCACTTAAAGTTAATCTTTCATCTATTTGTGACTGTTTCTTGAATGTCACATCATCTATATGTTAACTGTATCCGCCTACGCAAAGTTTGCTGTGGTCGGTTTTGAATCAGTTTTTGTTCACATTTTCTCACGATCAATCTTGAGAACGTAAACATTGACGTAAATTACTGTCTAACAATTTGGCTAGTAGACAGCTCTCACCACACTACTACTACTACTACTACTACAGTGGTGATGTCATACAGACAATGTGTTGTACCGATGGAATATCATTCTCACATATTCCCAAAGCTCAATTCAGCATTAGCAACAGAATACGATATATCTATTCGAACACTCTAATTGGTGTTAGAGATAGAATACTTTTCCCACGGTTATATACTGTATTAACAAAAGAATACTATGTATATTTGAACATTCTATTTCATGTCGGTTGATGTAAACCTAAATCACACGCACAGTGATTGGTTGGTTAACGAATATAAACTGTGCGTATATAAAAAGCGGTTTGATCAATGAAAAATGAACTTTGGCTTCCATGTCTTGCCTACTGTAGTTACACTACTACTACTACTACTACTACTACTACTACTACTACTACTACTACTACTACTACTACTACTACTACTACTACTACTACTACTACTACTACTACTACTACTACTACTACTACTACTACTACTACTACTACTACTACTACTACTACTACTACTAACTACTACTACTACTACTACTACTACTACTACTACTACTATACTACTACTATACACTACTACTACTACTACTACTACTACTACTACTACTACTACTACTACTACTACTACTACTACTACTACTACTACTACTACTACTACTACTACTACTACTACTACTACTACTACTACTACTACTACTACTACTACTACTACTACTACTACTACTACTACTACTACTACTACTACTACTACTACTACTACTACTACTACTACTACTACTACTACTACTACTACTACTACTACTACTACTACTACTACTACTACTACTACTACTACTACTACTACTACTACTACTACTACTTTACTACTACTACTACTACTACTACTACTACTACTACTACTACTACTACTACTACTACTACTACTACTACTACTACTACTACTACTACTACTACTACTACTACTACTACTACTACTACTACTACTACTACTACTACTACTACTACTACTACTACTACTACTACTACTACTACTACTACTACTACTACTACTACTACTACTACTACTACTACTACTACTACTACTACTACTACTACTACTACTACTACTACTACTACTACTACTACTACTACTACTACTACTACTACTACTACTACTACTACTACTACTACTACTACTACTACTACTACTACTACTACAGTTCGTACAATGCATCACTTGGACACTCGTCGTTTGAAGGAACACGAAGGCCGTAGCTGTATCATGCTGGGATGTTCTGTTCCTATGACAGCAAAGTTAAAGTATCCCAGCCAAAGTCAAGGTGTGTCAACCGTTGATCTTAAAAAAACAGTCAGGTTTTGTAGGACGCTTCAGAAGGTCATTCCGAATAGAAATAATGCCTGCGTTTATAGATTTGGTTAGTGAGTTCCATGAAGATCGACTATTTAACTATTGTGTCAGTAACTGATTAATTGGAGTCATGAAGACGTGTGTGTGTGTGGAGAGAGGCTATGCCAGTACAGCTATGCAACTTTGAGTGCGATAAATACTACTATAGATGTAATTCATGCTATAAGAGAAAATCGGTTCGTGAGGATGGGTAGCAGTAATTTATTGACTTCCTAAGTACTTTATTCGCCAAATCTAAGCTGTCTTTGTCAAACATCCTACGGCTGATCTATAGTTAGATTTCGTAAACGCCTGTAAGGTCAGCAGCAGCTGAGAAAGAAAATAGCCTGTTCTATATAGTTCAGTGGTATCAGTACTGTAGAAACACAGCGTCATGGGATATAACCAACTGTCACCTTCATTTTTCATTCCCCACCGTGTCAACCATTCCTCCACCATCGTGGATCCAAACACATGCATCCACACTAATTCTGTCGAAGTGTTTTGGAGGAGGATGAAGAAAACAGTTAGGAATATCGATGGATCCCAAAGTATCATGATTTTCATCCACCTCGATGAATAAATGTATCTGCTGTGGTACGATATCTCTTCGGATTATCCTTGGAGAAACGTATTAGAGACCATTATCCAGTTTAATATCATGTTTGCAACACTTTTAATACATTTTTTAACGATTATGACGCTTCTTTTGCGTCTGAATTCTGATTGGTAGTTTAGGACCACTATAATTTTGGCTATGATAGTTTAACTTCGCCCCTATGACTTCTCAGTAATCCTGTTACCTAAATACATTTTCAGATTGTTGTAAAATAGCTCCCTTCATCACTTAGTTGGTATTAAGGTCAATCTGGTGTGTCGGTGGTATAGCGGTTAGGATGCTCGCGGACCATACACATGGTCCGGGGTTCGAACCCCGGCCGACGCACTCCTTTACCTCGCTAAGCCAGAAATAATGCTGGTGAAGAGGAACAGTTGGGCATGAGGCTAGCAACCCCATCCTGTAAAATAAACTCTGCTACAGAAACTTCAAGCCACTAGCTTGAAGCCCTATGTTCCACTGGGGAACGTGTAGGATAAAAAAAAGTCAATCTGGCTGTGAAGTTAGGGATAATCCGAAAAAACAGCCTTTGCAGGATAGCTGACCTTATAATAATGAAGAACCTTATTTCTAGTGGAGGCAGCAAGAAAGTGAGCAAAAATTACTCCAAATAAGACGAGTAGGTGCCCCATTAGAAGGTAATACTTGCCAAATGCGCAGATTAGGTTTTAGCAGTCCAACTTCAGGAGATAGCTACTAGCTACGGCATAAATAGTTTAAAACTAGAGAGTTTAATACATCCAACCATACCATCCATTTGTATGGTAACCAACTGGTAAGTTGATTACAGCCAAATTACAAAAGATAGTCTGCAATATGAGTACAAATAATTCATGAATTTTAAAACAAACAGAAAATAAATTATTTTGAAAAATAAACAGACAAACAGAAGACAACCTACTTAGTACTCGCTGAAGATGTTCTTCGTCTGTGTAAATTTGCACTATTCCAAACCGCTGTACTTGGCTTACGTTCACATACTTCTAAATTTGCCAATGAACCAGCAAATTTATCTCCACTTTCATTTACATCTAAATCGCCTTCTACAGTTGCAATATCAGATCCAAGTTTTGACCAGTCGGGTAATACAATATCTGTTGTATTCCAGAAGGCATCACGCACAAGATCAGGGTGCTCATGATGCATTCCATCAACAATAAGATACGAAACCTGAACAAGAATAAAAACAAACATAGTTAAAATGTTATGTCTTGATATAATGTATGACTTACTTTCAAATAACTGGTTGCTAAGATGGCTGCCCTGAAATCCTTTAGGATTATCAGTAGACAGTTTGCCGAAAGCAACTGCTACAAAACGCCTGAGACCCGATTTATGTGATCAGAAAGACACAATGGTCAGGCCTTCTTTGCTCCGGTGACCCCAAATCTTCACGTTTCATTTAAGTTGAATATGTATAATCTGTGTATCTTTAATCTCCTCGTCTTCTCGTATATGATAATTTTACTTGGGTTTTTGTTTCTATGATTTGGTTTGAATTAGATCCTCATCTCTGGCTCTACTCTTATATATATCCATAGCATTTTTATTACAATACACAACAGTTTACCAATCAAGTGGCGATATGTTTGTTAACAATAATTAATTAGTCAGTGTCAAAATGTCAATGGGTTGATAATTAACGAAGAAAATCAATACACATTTAAAAGGTAGAAATGGTTAGATTAAATTAATTTTACAAGGATAACACGTAATTAAAGATGAAGTGGTCAGAAAAATAAAATAATTTGGACAATTATAATTTTGTCCCTTGCATAACCATGTTGGATGATGTTCGGAAATACGATGATGAACCTGGCTAGTTGTACGCCCAATGTAGCTGGCTCCGCAGCTGCAGTCAAACTGGTAGATACACAAATAAGAGGCAAATTTAGGTAGTTTATCCTTATTTCTCGAACACAGAATAGCGGTGGTTTTGAAGAGACAACGTACCTCTGCTGCATAGTAAGCTCTTTTAGCTGCATTCTTCAGGCGCTGATGTTGTCTCCGAGGAACTGCAATTTTATGAACATTGGTTTCTTCGGAACTGTAGCCATACTGACTCTCCTTGGTGCTGAATTCATATTTTTCTCAATGAATTTATCTGGATAACCATTTTTTCTAAGTAATTCTCTAATAATCTTAAGCTCCTCATTGAGGCAGTCGTCTGAACAGATTAACCAGGTTGCGTTTATATTTCAAAGGTACAAAACTCAAAAAATGAGTGTACTGACCTGTTGTTGTAGGTTTCCTATGTAAACGTAACCTGGTAAAGTGTCTGGTTCATAGAGCAAATATGCTTGCTTTATTGATTATCATTTATGGTATCAGGCTGATTACATATTATAGTCTGAATGATTTCGGTTTCCATAGGAACCTGTGGTAGCGAAATTTCATCTTGTAAGGAATTTGCAAATTGTGAATTTTATTTATGGGACTAGTAGGTCACAGAAGTAACTAGTCAGGGATTGTGTGTTTTGAACTGACTAATCTGGCTGTCTGAGTTGAGTCGATTTCGGGTACACAGAGGATGAGCTCGGCCGTGAACGTGTGAAATGGTCGACCTGTGTTAGATCAATTCAATCTGGCTATAAAGCACTACTGGTTAATGTAAGTGTAGAACTTGGGCACTGTGGTAGATATTAGATAAGTTCATTTTAATAAACACACAGTGATGCAGTATTAAAAACTGGATGACATTTCGAGCACTCATAATCACATCAATTTAGTCACATGTTTTCACAATTTGTCTCATATATATATATATATCCTCTCTTTCTGTCTGTCCAACTTCTATTTGTTGTTTTTTGCCACTTTCCGTACCTCCGATATAGGCGGCGTTGCGTCATTCCGACTGCATGTGTGCGGTATTGAATCGATAAACGAAGCTTCAGTGATTAACCTCTCTCTCCACCTAACTATACCACTTCTTAATACTCTCACCCTGTTCCACCCACTCTATTATGTGATTACATGTAAGTGAATGCAGTGCAATGGCTGAGCTTTTTTCTAGGTTATTTTACTTGGCAGCGTCAATCATTCTAGGCCTGTTAAATATTCATTTTCCAGTAATCTAGTTGAATAACCCCTGAAGCACTGAAAGTGGACCCAGAGACGACAGCAGATATGCTGACTCCATTATTCAAAAAGGTCTGGAAGGAGGGGAAGGTGCCTACTGACTGGAGGAAAGGTTACCTCGTGAAACTACCAAAGAAGGGCGACCTAAGACTCTGCAAGAACTGGCGAGGAATCATGCTCCTGTCGACGCCAAGTAAAATCCTGAGTCGCATCATCCTGGAGAGAATAAAGGACGCACTGGACACGGAACTCCGACCAGAACAAGCTGGATTCAGGAAAGGCAAATCATGTTCTGACAAAATTGCAACTCTACACATCATCATCGAACAAAGCATGGAATGGCAATCAAACCTCTACCTCAACTTTATAGACTTTGAGAAGGCCTTCGACAGCGTTGACCGTGAAGTAATTTGGAAACTACTCGAGTACTACGGCGTACCCCAAATATTCATCAACCTTATTCAACAGCTGTACGACAACGGCACATATCAAGTGATCCACAACGGAAAACTCAGTGAGGCGTTTGGAGTAAACACAGGTGTCAGACAAGGGTGCTCATTATCACCAATGATATTCCTAATTGTGGTGGACTGGATTATGCGTCAGATAGTGGGAAACGAGAAGACAGGAATATCCTGGGCCGACGTGAAGAACCTAGAAGACCTGGATTTCGCGTGTGGATGATTTATGTTTGATGTCACACAAAATCGAAGACTTACAAGCGAAAACCGACAAACTGGTCGAAGAAGCAGCAAAGACAGGACTCCAGGTGAACATAGACAAGACGGAGGTTATGAAAATAACCAACCAACAACAACAAAAACAACAGCAGCAACATCCAGCGCCAATCACCATCAACGGGAGGGATTTGAAAGAGGTTACTTCATTCACTTATCTAGGGAGCATTGTCTCAACTACAGGAGGAACGGACGAGGATGTCAAATCGAGAATCGGGAAGGCAAGAAACACATTCATCAACCTGAAACCAATCTGGAAATCTTCATCACTCAGCATCAACAACAAAATTCGGATTTTCAATACAAACGTCAAGTCAGTCAGTTCTTCTATACGGATCAGAAACTTGGCGGGTCACAAAGAATATTTCCAACAGCCTGTTGCAGACCTTTATCAACAGCTGTCTTCGCTGGTTCTATACTGAAGATCAGATGGCCGGAAAGAATCACCAACAAGAAACTATGGGGACAAACAAAACAAGAACCAATCGCCCAACAAATATGCAGGAGAAAGTGGAGATGGATTGGACACTCGCTGAGGAGGCCGCTGGATGACATCGCGCGTCAGGCCCTCGAGTGGAAATCGAAAGGGAAGCGGCGAGTGGGACGTCCAAGAGTGACATGGAGGAGATCATGTGAAGAACAACTGAAACAGTATGGAATAACATGGATGCAGGTGAAAAGTACAGCAGAAGACAGAAGCAAGTGGAGGCGTGCAGTTGAAGCCCTATGTTCCACTAGGAACCCAAGGGAACAATCATAATAATAATCTAGTTGACACTGAACTTCTAGTTTGAGTGACCTATGTAATCGACCTCACAGTCCTTATATGCTATTTGGTAAATTATATTGTTTTTCCTGATTGGATCTATTGGGTCATTAAGCCGACAAACATTTTCTCTGAGAGAGTTGATGGGTTTAAATGTCACCCTAATTCCAGAGTCATTGAAAATTCTACGTAATGCCTCTTACTTACCTTCTTCTTTATACAGCAGTGCTACAGAGGCTTAGAATTCTACATGATTTTCGTCACTTTTATTTCTAGTCTTAGTTTTTCCATGGTTCTTCATATATTTCTGAATAAATTCTGGTGGGTAGTTATTCACTAGTAATATTTCCCTAATTTATTTAATTTCATTATTGACATCTTCTGGCTTACTAGTCAGGCTCGCGGCCTGATTATATAGACATTTAACGAAACCTATCTTTACCAATTCTGGATGGGAAAAGTTAAAGTCTAAGTACTTATTAGACAATGTCGGTTTCCTGTAAATGCCAGTATCTAGATAGTAGTTGTTAATACAGCACCACTGTGTGGTTATTAAAATAAACTTATCTAATATGGAATTACACTACTGGTTAAATATGAATAAAGCAGGGATAACAGTATGTGCAGAATAAGATAGTAACAACACTTATTTCATTGGCCTCTCATCAACTGCGCACAGCCTAAAGAAATTACTAAGTTCATGCACAGAACAATTTTTAACATACTTGCAAATGTTACAGGATGCCAGTTGACAGAAGGCTGCAAAATTAATAAACAGTGCTCAGAAATCACACTTATATAGCTTAGTTCAAGACTGTTCACGTTTAAACAAAAATGAATGCTTGCATACAGTGGTAAAGGAGTTAAGTAACAAAGACAAGGGGTGATTAAGATGATGAGTAACTAATAAATTGAGTAATAGTATAATGAGTTCAATTCAAATCATAGAAACACGAGACAAGAGAATTAACACTATATCTAAGGTTTGGTGTCTGGGGGGAGGTGATGTTAAAGCCAAAGATTGCATAATCAAACAAAGGAGAGAATGAATATATCCAGTTACCAGGGATAACTGCTTCCTCCTGAACACATAAATCGGTTGGTTTCAGGCGCTTGACTGTCGACTTTAGTGACTGCACCAAAGAGGATGTTGTACGATAATATGAGTGGTAGACAAATACTTACTAGATCTGATCAGTAATATGTAGTTTTATGCAATTCTACGTTAACCTATCACCATACATTTACCTAATTAATTTTTCTCCAAGGTCACAGAGACACTCTAATACTAATTTGTTTATTGGATATATCATCTCACACAGTGAAACAATATTATTTTCACTGGATGACTACTTTTCGAATACACGTCATCCAGTGGGAAATTTGTATTTCCATCACCCTTTTACAAATAAATACAGAGAAAAAACAGACCGTGAAACAGTTAGTAGTTATTACCACCAGTTAAAAAACTCATAAGTCATCGAAAAGGGTATCATGGCTATAACAACCACACCCGTTTTGTAACATCCTGTTACCTCATAAACAAAACTATTCTTCTACTTTAATCTCATGACCTGGATGCATAAAAC